AGCTTTCACAGCCTTCAGGTAAGTACAATTCTATGCAATGAGGCCATTGATCCTGATTTTCATAGCAATATTTGGAGTCAAAAAACATAGCAACACCGGCAGTAAATGAAGCTAAAATTCAAATTGTACGAATATTTAATTATGCTGTCACTGCCAAAAGGCCATCAAGAACCTGACTTGATAAACACGTCCAGTATTTTGATCCCGATTTACAAAATTGAACACCAGTCTAAGTTTTTGCTAAGTGTTGCCGTTCTTATATCGCCTGCGGTAGCTTTCACAATACTATAGCAGTTATTTATGTAAAACATCCAACAGTTCGACCGTCGCTTCTGACGATGTCTACCGCGTGCTCCATAACAAATGAGGATCAGATACTGTAACTTTCCCGCGAATTGATTTATAATGATAATAGACTTGCGCCGCATTTATCGCACACTCCACCCCTCCCCTACCTGGGCCCCCTCGAAGGTGAAGTACGTCTTTAGACAGAATTTCAAGAGTTAGAATAGATGTCACCGCTCCAATGACTCGTCCGTCTCGCCGTACTGTCTGTTGAGAAAGTCGCCGACCGTTTCGATGGCCGGTTCCTGCGGGATTGAACTGAAGAGAGAGAGGTGACTTCAAATGACATCATAACCTCGTCTGAGGTGATTCGCGTTACCCTGAGCCGTTCCAGAAACTGAATAGCTGAACAGACCGTTGTGGTTGTGCCTGAGGTGAGAAGACTGAGTTGTCCGAACAGCCGTTTGGCCAGATTGAATGTTGACGTGCTCTGCAGTGACACAACTGGTCAGAGCGAGACATCTGCCCTTTGGGTAGTCCGCAGAACCTTGCTGCGGCTGCATCTGTTGGTTTAACGACCAGTAGTACCGGCTTACTCATTGCTTTGTTTGTCTACATTTCGGCGAGGGTTTTATCCAACTGTGTCATCAGCTTCCTCATCGGCCTGCCAATCATCCAGCAGGTTGCTTGCCTTCTCAATTTGGGTCCGTCTTGCCTAAGAACGCCCTTTGTCTGCTGGCAGTATCACAATACTCGTGTCGGCCCTCAGTTTCTTGAGAGCATCCGGTTCCTATCTGATGATAATTGCGCGTGGTTTGTGTGCCATCACCAAGGCGGTTATCTGTTGCCGAACAAGATGCTTTGTTTCGTCGGGTTCCTGGGTTAGTTTTAGAGCTGATTCCAGTGTTTTCACGAGGTTGACCGGATCAGCGTCTGTGGTAGTGAAGCAGGTCTCGTGAGTAAGCACTGTTAATTGTCCAGGAGTCAGCTCCTTGGAATTAATCGCTTACCTAAAGTCTTGATGCCACTGGTGCACTTGAACCAAGAACTGACAACTCGGAACCTGCTAACGGTGTTTATTTGTGACCATAATTTATATTTTACAGATCAATCAGACTCAGGACTGCCTCCACAATTACTTAGAAATCTTCGATGGTCCTTCGGAGTCTTCACCGTCGCTGTACAAGCTATGTGGCCATGATAGACCGGAACGTCTTTTCTCGACGGGTAACGCAATGACTTTTCTTTTCGTCCTCAATGGTCCAATTGCAAGACAAGGATTCTTAGCCGACTATACGAAAGGTAAGGGCTCATGAGCTAAAGAAATTATAAACTGTGTCAAGTTTGCGCTGTACGCTACTTACGAGGAAACAGGCGAACAGCACGGAGGGGTGCGCTTTTTGCGAAATGTAGGATGCTATCCGTGCACACGACGACATTTCGACCGTCGTTGCCGAAATGTCCACCGTGTGCTCTACAGCAAGTTGAGAGCAGACACAGTGACTTGCAAGCGAATTGATTTATAGTGCTGCTAAACTTTCGCCGCATCTATCGCCCTCTCCACCCATCCCCTATTTGGGTTTGGAGTCAAAAGAGGGTCAGGAAGACCGGAGGCGTGAGAGGGCGCAGGTGGATGGCACGATCAAGCCCGCACCTTGGCGCTCCACTCCACACACCCTGCACCACACGACAAATGACCAGGTTTTTAAACAGCAACAAAATCGGGCGGAGCGGCAGGGGTTCCAAAATGCACGACAGTTGCCGGCAATCGTGTCTGCCCCCGCACCCCGTCCCGGGATGTTGACATTTCTTATGGTGCACATTCCGATAACGTCCACGCTTTGGTTCGGCGCATCTACCAAGTGGCATCTGTGGGGGCAAACACGCTTGATTGGACCGCAAGTGCTAAACCCAGACGGAGGCATGTTCAATCGAGAAATGTACTAGGCGGTGTATTGTTCGCCGTCACGAAACAGGTTTTTGAATGCCTGGTTTAAAAAAGAAAGCATGCAAAAACCCAAACTCTTGTAATTAAATGCAATTGTTTATAATTCTGAAGAAATATTTCTGATATACGTATATATATATTATGATAGTGGGCGCTCACCGATCAGGTTGCGGAACATGTTCGTTCCGTTGTGCCTTGGAGCTCATACTTAAACCCTCGCAGGCAGTCGCACAGCGACCGACAAAGACAAGGGAGACCGGAATAGCCATTTCCGGCTTATTAGCCGTCATCAGCCAGTCATACCCAACCCCAAGTGTGGATCACTTGAGATTCGAACCCGGGATCTTTGGTCATGGAGTTGAACGCTCTACCATTGAGCCACGGTCCCGTTTTCCTGTCGGTTGTGATCGGGAATATCAATTATGGCAGTGGGCACTCGTCGATCAGGTTACGGAACATGCTCGTTCCGTTGTGCCTTGGACAGGAAAACGGGCCCGTGGCTCAATGGTAGAGCGTCAAACTCCATGACTAAAGATCCCGGGTTCGAATCTCAAGTGATCCACACTTGGGGTTGGGTATGACTGGCTGATGACGGCTAATAAGCCAGAAATGGCCATTCCGGTCTCCCTTGTCTTTGTCGGTATTATCTCATCTATGTCTACCACTAGTCGCTGTGCGACTGCCTGCGAGGGTTCAAGTATGAGCCCCAAGGCACAACGGAACGAGCATGTTCCGTAACCTGATCGGCGAGCGCCCACTGTCATAATTGATATTCCCGATCACAACCGACATACAACGGGCCCGTGGCTCAATGGTAGAGCGTCAAACAACATGACCAAAGATCCCGGGTTCGAATCTCAAGTGATCCACACTTGGGGTTGGGTATGACTGGCTGATGACGTCTAATAAGCCAGAAATGGTTATTCCGGTCTCCCTTGTCTTTGTCGGTACCATCTTATCTATATATATGTATATATATGTTGGCTCACGCTTTGGTCCAGCGCACCTACGAGGTGGCATCTGTGGGGACACACACGCCTGATTGGTCTGCGTGAGTTAAAGGCAGACGGAGGCAGGTTCGGTCGAGCAATGCATTAGATGGTGCGCTGTTCGCCTTTCCGTTACAAATACTTTCATCCGGAACCTAGACAGCCGGACAGTGGCTCCCGGAATACATGACATTCTTTTGCTCAAAAGATCTCGAAATCAGGCAACACGTTGGTGCGGAGATCACGCTCTTCTGTGTTGGTTTTCAACACACGGTGCATGTGGTAAATAGCTTTGTGCTTTAAAATCTGTTATTTTTACTTGTATTGGAAGGGAGCATGTAAATGTGGCTGTAGGCATGAGTTACATTTTTAAGTATTTCTTAGTTAACAATGCCAGTAATCTTACCGTTTTTATCACTTCCCTTCAAATGTTACACAAGAAATATCCCTATCCTTGCGTAATAGGTAAGGAGTGATACTGTTTATGCTAACTTGTCAAATCCCAAAGGGCATTTTGATTTAAGAAAGCTTCACGGCTGCCTGTTGTCATCTAGGGATACACTGAGTAACTTAATTCTCACCATTCCCAAAGCTATAGGTTTCTCGTATTTACCTTTCTCGATATGCTTATTGGTATATTCTGGCGTAGACAAAAATCTCGGTTGCAATCATACTGGCATCAACACGCCGGGAACCAAAAGTGCTCGCGTTGTCACATAAAATGCAACAGAATTTGTTAAATTTACCCAGAAGAAGATATGTTGGTCAACAATCCTTCATAATTTGCTGTTACGCGTACTAAAAGTCGCAATGGACGTCCATCTTGGGCAATCCCCAATTGGCAGACAGCCGAGACCGTTAAGTAGTATGGAACTAATAATAAGAAACGATGCAGAAATCTGATAAATGCTCAGAGACTTGTATCCTCACTTGCGCTATCACCGTGTCTGTGCATGTAGAACTATAAATGTCTGAAATTGGTAAGTTCCTTGTTTTATTTTTATAGAAGCTGATTGCGGTAAATACTTGAAGGCGGATCAAGGCACATTTACCAGTCCTAAATACCCCAACTGGTGTCCACCAAACCAGAAATGTGATTGGATGATTGAAGTCCCTGTTGGATTCTCCGTTATCCTTTCACTCCGTGGTGATCTAGTAAGTAACACTGTTATTGCCACGGTACAGTTTATAATGATCGAATTGGAAAAAAACTGTCTCTTCAAGAATTCATAAGCATCAGTTAGCAGTGAAGTCGCGAGCCCTGAAAAGAGCGTGACGTGGGGAGAACGAAAGGATTGAGTTTAATTTAGGCTACTCACAGAGGTATACGTAGGCATTTCATAGAAGTGGAAAAAGACGTATGTGTTTCAATGCAAACTTCCCAATGACGTACACTAGGTTCCCAGGGATTGTGCCGACTCAGATCTCACGCAGTGGAGAGCGCCATGGAGGCAACATTCAGAAGCAGCCATTGAGTCTGACCGTCCGTCCTCGAGTCGGACATCCCACATACACACACCGCACTGGCCACAAGGACCGAGTTATCCCGTCAAAAGTCATCACGCCAGGGCAGGACATTTGTACCTAGTGGCGTGTTCACGACGCGTCCGATTTATCATAGAGAGTAATGGGTTGATGTTTCGTGGGATGAAGTACGCATAGTCGACTTTATTTCCCCCAGTCCCCGCCCATGCACCGGTCCGCCGTCCGAACCGGTCAGGCATCTGGTGCAGGGATTGGATACATTGGCTGACTTGGTGTAATGCCTTCGCCTAGGCATGCTGACGAATCCAAAATGTGACATTCCATGGGATGCGCGGTCTCCGAGCTACCTGCTAGGCTCGCACCGTGCGCCCGATCTGGCCCTCCTTTGTTCCATCGCCTATGCAGCGCGATCCGTTGAGATGTCAAAGCACGTAAGCGCCAAAATTCGGTAGCAGATCAGGAAATGTTGCTCGTGAGTTTAAGTCGATTTTACTGTACGGGGAATTCAGTACAGTATTAATTAAGTGGTAGATTGTTTATTCTGGTCATTTCTAACCATGTAGATTTGGGGGCATTAGTTAATTACCACTGAATTTCATATTTCTTAGAATCATGAGGAATGGAGTTGCCAGTACGAATACATAGAAATATACGATGGTCCCTCGAGGTCTTCACCTTTTCTGCGAAAACTATGTGGGTCTGATATACCGACGACAATAGGATCGACTAATAACACGATGACCGTGCGCTTCGTCAGCGGAAAGTATCGAAGAGAGCGGAGACTTAAAGGAGAGTTTAGGAAAGGTAAGTCCTCCTTGTCTGCATGGATAATACATAATGCAATACCTTGCTCTTCAACTACAGCGGCATGATACATATTTTTGCACACCATCTACGCATTCACGTTCAGATGTTATTCGTACAATCGCCTAATTTTGGAGTTTGCTAAGAGCTTAATTTGACTGCGTGGTGTACCTTTCCCCATTTAGAAATGAGCAATTTATATACGTATGTAGGAAAATATCGTCCTCATGAAATGCTGTTCTGAATACTTAAATTCGGTGGTCAAACCAACATGTTGAAATGCGTTTGTCAATCGGCATAGGGAGGCTGTCGTTTGATTGTCGTACAACACAATCTCAAGATTTTCGTGTTAAACCCGGACTAGAGCTTTTGAATGTACTTCATTCGGACAGCCTGCAAAATCTCACTTTGCATATGTTTTCTAGAAATCATGCTTGAAAATACCCTTTTTTATACATATTTTGTAACAAATTACATATTACTTTAACTTTGCACTCTACGAAAAGTTTCTTTTGATTTTAAAGTGGTTTTAATCATGGCGCAGTCACTGAGACGGTACTGTTATTAGCCCGATCTTCCGAACTCGAGAAGGAGTTCAGCATCGGAAACCGTTGGAGTGCAACCTGCCCCGGCTTAAGACGCTTTGACGCACACCCGACTGTCCCGTGAGTGTTCAGGGGGGGGGGGAGAGAGGAATTTTGTCAATGACCTGGTCTAGTATGCGTCGCCTGCCCACAATAGTTTTACAGCAAGGTGACGGTGTTTGACCTTGAGACACTGGGTCGCCTCTCGCGTTTATGCCCGAGTATTCACGAGCTGAGGCGAGGCCCTGGTTGGCCTGTATAATGACAAGGATATGTATGGCATAGGGTTTGATAAAATGCGCACGATTGCTCCCTTCGGTCATGTTGATCCTTCATTTCATTATTCTGGTACGCATGGTCGCCGCGGAAAGATAGCGATGACCACGTCTCACTCAGTCTTAATGATTTCTGTGACCTCGGACACTATGCATGTTAGCGAGTGCCAAAACGTTACTGTCTCTCTCTCGTTTGTCCGTCCAGGTGCGTAAGTATGCAGCAACTGACGAAATGTTTTGGATAGCCGTTATTTGTCAGTTGGTCGCTGAGATGCCGTAGTTATTGAACTCTTCCTTTGAGCCCGCCACCGTGGGTTTTTACGCGATAACAGAGGTTCCTTACACGGCCCACATTTTGCACTGCTCGATGGTTGCTATGATAGCAGAGGACCAGGGTTGTGCTAGTCGCCATGCTATACACTGTAGTGTTTAGTCTGCGCGCAACGTGCACGTCAAGGAAAGCTAATATCTCAGACGCCTTGCACGGACCAGAAGCAAGCCGGGGCGGGGGTGTTTGAGGCATGGATTTTAGCCATCAGCTCCATCTATAGGTGTATTCATTTCCCTCACGTGTTACCACGCCCGCCGCCCACGCAGCCAGATGGCGCAGCTTATACGGCCACTAAGGCCGAATACCGTCACCACGCCGTGAGACCATTGTGGAGCCGGGCTGTGGGCGCCAGACTTAGCCAAGTACGCAGACGCTTAATTTGCTGCCTATTCGACGAGACCCTGCAACGAATTAAAATTCGACGCGGCCGAAACCCTCGCTAGAGGTAACAACCACGTGATCCGCGGGCTGTTTGAATCATGGTTCAATGGCTCCCAGTCTAATGATTAGTTCAACGACCTTCCCATTCCATACTCGGTACGGAGAGTTCGCCTAGGCAGAGTATTAAGCCACGCGGGGAGCGCGCGGGCAAACACAGTCCCCAAAACCAGTACAGTGGGTCAGATGGTTGAGCAATCATCACTTCGGCATTCAACGTTTTCTGTTGGTCGTGGGGATGACGTCAGTGTCACCCCGATTGAAAAGTTGGTCGCACTGGGGTGCGTGTGCAAAAACGAGGGACAGTGAGTCACGCCGACGTACGCGTACCTTGTGTTTATTGATTCGAGTTCCCAGATGTCGTCCTGTATAATCAACAAATACACAGGGAAAATTTGCACATGGGATGCGATATAGATAGATAGATAATATTTTATTAAAGACCCGTCGGGGTCCCATCAAAGCAAGTTAAAATAAATTTTCATGTGAGTTTTAGACGAGGCAGGCCGAATCTTTACAAAATGCAATTCATAGTTTCTGAATTAGTAGTCCATTGAGAAACATGATTAGTCAGGGGTGGAAAAAACTCGCAACCTGTTGGTTTTCCACACTTCTGGCTTGGCTATGGCTGGCTGACGACGGCTAGTAAGACAGAAATGGCCATTCCAGTCTCCCTTGTCTTTGTCGGTAATAGCATTCTGCCTATATATCATGCGCCGCCTTGCGGCTGCTGGTTCGGCTCGAGAGAGAGCCCTTAAGGCACAACGGAACGAGTGCGTTCCGAATGAACGATCGGTGAGCGCCCCTTCCATAAATATATATATATATATATATATATATATATATATATATATAGAGAGAGAGAGAGAGAGAGAGAGAGACAGACAGACAGACAGCCCGTAAGGCACAACGGAACCTAGTGATTTCGTAAAAAACGATCGGTGAGCGTCCCTACCATTATATATTTGTATATATATGTTGAAGGAAGCCTACCTTCCAAGAGAGAGAAAGAGAGAAGAGGTGGTATAAATTCCGAGACGATATAATGAAAAGGAAGAAGTTCTTCAAAAAAATTCAATTTGCACTCGTGAATTTTCGAATTGTTACACTAACCCTTCGTTAGACGAAATGAAGATTAAATATAAAGTGTGGCAGTCACACTAGACTAGTTGATGCGACAGGACAAACATTGACGGGCGGACCATTAGCGAGTAAGAAGTGGGGTGGGTGGGGATTCATGCTGGTTTCTGGGCCAGGAGGGGAGGAGAGAGGGGCGAGAACAGTTACGACTGCCGTGTTGGAGGGGAGAGGAGAGTGGCTGGTTGACGGAACTGCGGCGCCTGAATAAGCGGCTGCTGCTGCAGCGTGGGACTCCGTTTGGTGAGGCGTGATCTTAAACCCTCATAATGGGCATCTTGATCAACATGGCGGTTGATGGTATTCGTGTTAGAGTGCCATGTCTCTAGGAATTCTCTCGTCCGTTTTGTGTTGGTTGTGGCGATGACCTCAGTGTCATCCCAATTGAACCGGCGGTCGCCCTGGAGTGCGTGTGCAAAGACAAGGGGCAGTGAGTCACGGCGACGGACGGTTGGTTTTTGTTCATTAATTCGAGTTCCTAGATTTCGTCCTGAATGACCAACATTTATGCGGGGGTAATTGGCACATGGGATGCAATATATAACATTAGTCTGTTCCGGTTTGGGTTCGATTCCTTTATTCGAGATCAGCCTTTGCGCAGCGAGGAGCAGGTTTGAGAGAAACGCGGATAACGACCTGATTTAGCTGAGGGGCGAACATTTCTGAGGTCCCCTGCATAAAGGACAGCAAGACGAATTTCTGTGTCCCGATTTCTCCATTTGAGGAGGGGCCATGAGGTTGTGCCTAACGCCTGAGGCAGTTATTCACGAAACTGATCAAATATCCGTTAAATCGAAATAACCCATACATATAAGCTAGTTCTCTCTTCAGGAGATGGTCATTGCTGCAATAACGGTAGGCGCGGGGGAAGAGAGTTCGTACGCAGCATCCTTTTTGAACTGCAGGATGATTCTTGCATAATTGTGGATGATATCCGAATCAGACCCCTTTCTGTAGACGTTGGTTGTGAGACTACTGTCGTCCAGCCTTTGTATTTTTACATATATATATCAGTGAGGAAGGATGACAGAGAATGCGACTAGATTGGCCAGTACTGTTTCGGGCTTATTGTGCCTTCATTCGGCCAATCATAACCCTCACCACCAGCAGCTGGGACCAGAAACACAAAAATGCGCACAGACGCACCTGGCGCTGTTAATCCACCACCGGGGTCTACCAGATGGATCATAAGCACTTCATCGAACCCAAGTTCATCAGTGCCTCGCCACCTGTCATTCTCTGTCGCTGCAGATCGGGTATTTATCAATTAGGAATGGACACACACCGATCTATTGATTTCACGAAGCAAACAAGCTCCGTATGGGTGACAAAGGTCAAAAACAGGCAACCAATTACCAGGCCGAAGTCGGCCAAGTCATAATAACAGCGAGGAGGAAGAGGTTTTTCTGAAAAATCGAGTTGTACTCGTGAGTTTTCGAGCTGCTGACACCAACCCGTCGACAGACGAAAATTTCGCGGGTAAAACTCGAGTTTCCCGAAGAAATACTTCCTGTTTTCATATACATATACATATATTGCGATTGCGTTCGTCGTAAATACTTCTTTGTATTTTTATTCTTAATAAAGCTGGTCGACTATCGGTAGACGTTGGTATCAAAAACACTCTTTAATGGGTTTAAATATATTTTCCATTGGCAGCTTGAATGATTTTTCGCAATAATTAATGACGAATGAGGAAATTGTCCTTGCTGATTATCACTACCTGCAGGATCAGTAGTATATGAAGCCGAAGTCATATCGATTTATGTTTTTATATCAGCCGTATGCGGTGGCAAGTTCATTGCGGACGAAGGCCACATTGCGGTCCCTAGGTATCCGAACAATCAACTGCCAAACAGTGAGTGCACTTGGACGATTGAAGTTCCCGTCGGCTTCCACATTGCACTCACAAGGGAAATATTCGGAGTAAGTACCCGTGGAACCCTTTCATTCATGTCCTCTGATTCTGATAAAGATGTGCGCAGTCGGAGGTAATTTAATTTTAACAACAGCCAGTCATGCTAAAACATAATGTTATACATGTTTGTTGCATATAGCTACAGTGCATAGGACATCACCAACATGCCTTATTTCTCGCATCCAATGATTCGATCTTGCTTTCTACCTTTGAGACGGCCCGCAGCAACTGGTCGAATATGAATTCATGCATCCCGCCCTCGGCACCTTGATGCAAGATAACCTCAATTACAAAAATTGATGCAAAATCGGTTTTTGCGTCGAGTCTTAGCAGCCCGTCAAGATTTGCAGCACACAACCTAGTTACTAGGCCAGAATGAGAGCTACTCGGATCTGATACACGAACGTGAGATGTCATGATGTCCACACTGAGAAGTATCCCCTGAAACCTGGCTCCCAGGCCTGATGACAATCAAGTTACTGCGTCAGCCGGTAAGCTTCCAATGGACGACTGATGGCGAATTACGATGGATTCAAGAGTGCCAGATTCAGTACCACTGAGTCAGGGGTCGACATCTTGTTATAATAGATGCTCCAGGGTCGGGCTCTCATGCACAAGACGACTTTCCTTGCCTGGGAGCGGACCGGAGATGCGACTGTGTGGCGTGACTGAAGAGATGACATTGTTCACTTAAGCGTTTGACATGCGACTTGATCCCCACGTCGCGTAAAATTCTGCTCCGAAGGATATTTGTCCCACTTGAGTGAGAGCAGACATGCGACGTTCCGCTCACCGTACAGAACATGACAAAGGAGATCTCATGTTTGCTTCAAAAGAAATGCAGTGTGTTACTAGGAGATGTCGTGCGTCTGTTGAAATTGCACACCGCCCAATAGGGCCTTCAAAATTAAAAATCGGTTAGAGCCTGAAGAACACTCTGGAGTAGTGTATCGTATTCCCTGCCAAAATTTTCCTTGTAATTACAGACGGCAGACTGGGCGCATACGCGAACATAAGCTGATTATACGACGAGGCAAAGCATTGTCACAAGTGGCCGCCCACACCTACGAAATGGGTCACGATTTAACTTCACAGCCAACAAAATAGTCGCCAACGCCGGAAACAAAATAGGCTGAAAATTGATTGAAGCCTGGGCCTCCGATGAGAACTGGGTCAATCGATTTACCGATATGGCGCCTGCGTACAGAGCCCTGCGTAGTCACCTCCAGTCTGGGGCGTCGGTCGATGATTGGCCTATATGCCCTATAACTGTCGCTCGTTCTGCCGCAGCCACTACCTCTGACGATGGACTCCTGCACGAGTCTGAAAACTGGGGACAATAAACGAGTGTTCCGGTGCTCGACCTTTCTTCATTTATACAAATCTGTGACGGCTTTACGTCGGGGCTCATGCCGCTGCTTCCAGGATCTATGTTCCATGAATTCGCAAGGGACCCACCAGGTCGATGCGTAAAATAAGTGCGCAGTGGCAGCAAGGACACTGTGGGGTGGCGTACACTGAACGGACGATGGTGGCGACGTTGATGGTGATCGCATTACGAGTGCTGATGATATAGGACCATGCGACAGAAGAAGCAGAGTTTTTTACTTCGGAAATTGCAGGTCAGCATACATGCCAATAAGAAGAGAGCCAGCCTGGTGATCGAAGGTCAGTCATGAGCTTGAACGCGGCCTACCAGGCGCCACTCACATTACCTTAGTCAGTCCGCAGATGACAGAGACGTGTAGAATCAGACGAGTATACCAGTCGACACTCATGAAGAAGCGACCAGAAACTGGCTGGTGCCCACGTTACTGGCATACAGCATCTGGCCATCGGAAGTGTCCAAGTTGCATAAAGCAGAATGTACATGCAGTGATAACTGATCAGTACATCGGACGACAAGGCATAGGCTAATGAACCCACCGACTTTACTGCAACTACAACGACCAGAGTGTTGTTAAATTACTAGCGAGCTCCGAGCGGTGACAACGCAGATGCCAAAACGAAGCATCACTGACCAGGAAGGTTGAAGTTCTTACGTCGGACACGGCAAAGAAAAGACACATTGTCACTCTGATGAAAGAAACAAGGAAGACTTCATAAGGTTCGTACAAACGGGGTTGTGTCCAGGAATATACATCCGCCTCTTCCTTTTCTGTGCGGAGGCAAGCTCAGATGTGTAAATTTCTACCTTAGAGACAGCAAAACAGAGGAGGGAGACACGAAGGACCATTTTTGGACTTTAAAAGCCTCCGAAGTCAAACCTAGGTTTGCTGACCTGTGCGTCGAGCCATTTTCATCGGTAATTGAACGTCAGGCAGTCGACCACACTAATACTGAGTCACGATCCCACAGTTGCGTGGACGGATTGTCCCACGCGATTCAAGTTAAGGCAGTGATTGCCCCCAGAGATACACAGATCGACACGTCTATACCTCGCATTGGCCTTCAAAGATACGAATTAAATTAAATGTTAAACTAACAAATTTCTGACACTCTTCCACTTTGGTCGAAAATTGAGACTTAGGTATCTGCTTATGAAATATATTCCCTGCCGCATTTTATAATCATAAGATGACGGAGCATCCACAGTGTCTCCACGATTACTTGGAAGTTTTTGACGGTCCTTCGGAGTCTTCTCCCTCGCTGTACAAGCTCTGCGGGTATAATTTCCCGCCGACCATTTGGTCGACGAATAACACGATGACTTTGCGGTTCGTTGTCAACAGTTCAATCGAAGGGCAAGTTTTCGAAGCCAACTACCGAAAGCGTAAGTGTTCGGGTCTTACACTTCACATTAATTATGCGAGGTGTGTGCTGTTACACTGTTACAAGGCAACAGGCCATCGGCACTGACAATATGCTCTTTTAACGCAATCAATTATTCTATCTGTCCATGCAAATTTCTGATCCCGGTATGGGAATGTTGAGTCACCAAGTACATCGGATGGTGTGCTGTTTGCCATCCCGATACCAATATCATCTTCATCAAAGTAGAATTCCGGGCCTATTACCTGTCAGAATTCAGTTGTCCAAAATTTGAGCTGCTGTATTGTTCTGTCAAAATGGCTTAAAAAACCAACGTTATTTGGGCCCACAAGCCACTCTCTTCACTGTTCACTTCAAGCGCGCAGTGTATACGGAAATTTAGTTCTTTATAAACACTCTCATTATTACCCTTATTAAAACATGGCTGTGTTTCTTGAAATACCAACCCCCCCATTTAGCAAATTATACGTCTGTTCAATCAATACTTCGAGATTGCTCCTTATTAAGTCTTCACATTTCCGGTAACAAGACTGCTGGTTCGTATCACTTCAAAAAATGTATTAATGATATAACTGTACTGAGTTAGAAAGGACTTCTTCAATAAACCGATCGTTCTTACGGAACTCACTCGTTCACTTGTGCCTTGCGGGCTCTCTCTCGAGCCTAACCAGACGCCACACAGAGGCGCATGATATAGGCAGAATGTTATTACCGAAAAAGACAAGGGAGACTGGAATGACTATTTCTGGCTTATTAACCATCGTCAGCCAACCATACCCAACCCCAAAGTGTGGAACACCCGAGGCACGAACTCGCGACCTGTTAGTTAGAAGTCCACGCCTCTAACCACTGGGCCACGAGCCCGTTGCCCTGTCAGTTTGCGATCGGGAATAAACAATAGTGCAAGGCACAATTGTGTTCCGTTAGGCACAAGGGAACGAGTGACTTCCGTATGAACGATCGGTGAGCGCCCCTGCATCATTGCATATTCCAGACCGAAACCGACAAGACAACGAGCCCACGGTTCAGCGGTAAGGGGCGTAGTCTTCTGATTAACAGGTTGAGGTTTCGAGCCTCGGCTGTTCCACACTTTGGGGTTCGATATGGCTGGCTGACGATGGCTAATAAGACAGAAATGGCCATTCCAGTCTTCCTTAATTTTGTTGGTAATAACATACTGCCTATGATTAACGCTGTTTCACCCGCCCAGGTGACGGGTTCCTTCTAATGAGGGCTTCAGGATACCTACTCGTCGAGCAGAGCTCCAGACGTTCCTTAGTCTGCAGGCTTCTCAAAACATTTTGCTCGATGGGTTTATTGGTTTGCTGATACGCAAGCACGAAGCCCAGCCCCAAACACACACGTGTTACGACGCCAGAAGGACACAAATGTCCGTGCTTAGATACTTACAGTCTTCTAGTGGGCAAACACATTTTAGCATGCGCTGTTTCATCCTTGCACAAACGCAATTTGCCTGGAAGAAAATTTGGTGGTGAACCATCCGCCAAAACTTACATTTACGCAATCTTGAAGCTACAGCCGTCTTCTACCTTGGGTGTTTCCCATTTGCCAGGCAGTCGAACGGGTTTGGCGATTTGAATTTAATGATCGAAACGACGCAGAAGTTTGAACGGTATCTAGGGTCTTTCCGAACTTACAAGCACCGCCAATCAGTCTGGGTACTTGGAGTTACGAATAACCGAAGTGACTGACAGTTTTGTTGTATTTTCTTGTAGAAGCTGCTTGTGGAGGATACTTGAAGGAGGATCAAGGCAACTTTACCAGCCCTGGATACCCGATCACGTACCCACCAAACGTTAGATGTGTTTGGAAGATTGAAGTTCCCGCTGAATTCTCTATTGTGCTTACATTCGAGAATATTGAAGTAAGTATCCATGCAAGCACTACTCTAATTTTTTATGGATGCGTTTGTGCAAACAAGCTTAAAATGAGAAGCAGCGGTTTGCTACGAATGTGGGTCTGTAAAATAAATTTAACATAAACTAAACTCTAGTAAGGAAATATATTTCGACCTTTTTGTAATCACTGAATATTCGATGGTGTAATTTCATAGCTGTAGTTTTGGGTTCCTTTTTAAATTGCCCACAGCAAAATTTACGAGTATCAATATTGATGATGTGTGGATGTTTGCTACTCAATATGCAGTTACTGGACGCTGCCAACTTATTTCCTTTGGGTATAAATATATCTTGTTTGCGGGGTGGACACTCTGCCGACATCTTCACAAGACAGCCAGCTAGTTCTTCACCTAAGCAATCTAGTGAATGGACTCCAGCAGGACCCCTGGGTCACACTCGTTTCTAAATTTTTTTGACCTACAGTTGACGATGATCACCGTCTGTGATGGCATGGCCGTCGCACAGTGCGATTTGTCCAGCATCGTACCTGACCGCCATGCTGCACCAGCGGCGGCGACGGCGGCGGCAGTTGACGGGACTTCCTTTACTCATCCAAAAGTGTAATGCCCAACTGGACACTCTGTCTTCACATCGGTTCTAGGTGGGTAGTTGGGAGGTGAGAGTGCGATAGATGCGTCGCAAGTCTACATTCACTATAAACTAAATCACGCGCGAGTCACCGTGTCTGCTTAATCTGGATATGGAGCACACGGTGGACATCGTTGGATGTGATGGTCGAACTCTCATCAGGCAAATACAGTTACATAGAAATTGTAAACATGAGACGTCCAGAGGCCTTATTAACATTCATCTTTCCCACGTCACCCACATGCTGACGTCGGTGTGCTATAACCATTGGGTCAAGGGGGCGACCTAGGCTGTGAGTGTTGTTTGTAAGTTAAGTGCGTGGAGTAAACATCATTATCATCTGGAGTATGGAGTTACTTGTAATAACCTGTTGGAGTCGACGTTAGTGACGGAAGGCAGAACGCCTTTGTTAAGGCCTTTTGCTAGTACAGCACTCGATTCGCAAGCCGTAAAACTACTTCCTCGGCTGTTTGGAACTTGGTGGAGAGCAATACGCCCAAACATGACGTTGACAATGTGCAATAATGAGGACACGAGTTTTGTGAAGTGGCCAGATACACCCAGAAATTGCTTCCAACTCTAAATGTGTGTACCTGCCTCGGCCTCGCCTACTTCCCAGATTCGGTAAATTTACATATATATGCACATATATGCAAAAATAGTGGGTGTAGACGGTTCCCAGTAGGTCAAGACATCTCTAGGTTTATGGTGCCCGTAGTCACATCGAGGCGTCGTATCAGGGAAGTACGTGTGTGCACTGAAGATACTTTTACTTTTAAATAGTTTCAGTAACATGTCGCACTGTCCGCTGTAGTGACTCCGGTCAGCCATCTGGTGCAGGGAATGAACATTGCTGCTTGAGTTGTGTGGAGGCTGTGCCCTGACGTACCACTACGCACTTCGTTTTCTGAATTTCTTGTGGGAGGTTTGGATTCTTCGCTGTCCGGCTAACCCTGCTGTGCACCGACTCGATCTCTTCTAGGTCCACCGTCTCCACAACGTAGTCCCCCTTGAGGTTCAAGCACTTGCTGGTACACGATGCCAGTATTTACTGCTATGCAGTGAGTCGGAAAATTGTACTGCATCGCGATGTCAGTTCATTAGTACTGACTTCCAAACACTGTGAAGAAAATGTAGGCGTGCATGTCTGGGTAACACTATATATATGAAACAATTTAGAAGGTCTCTAGACTTTTGACAGTAAATGTTAATTTCTGAATTTTGTATCCCCTAGCTTGAGTGGGAATGGCGCTGCGCGAATGATTACGTTGAAATATTCGATGGCCCATCGGAGTCCTCAGCCTTGCTGGGCAAGTTCTGCGGATCTGATATACCAGCACCTATAAATTCCACAACTAACACGATGACAGTGCGTTTCATCTCAGACCGTAGTCGCCAAGAATATGGGTTTGCAGCCAATTTCAAGAAGGGTAAGTGCTACCTTATGTGTGATTTCCACTGTTATCACATAACCGTTATGTGGAATTAACAGTTTTCAGACTTTGCGCAAATGCGTCGTAACATTTATCATGTGCCAGTTAAAGCGGTGGGCTTGCGAAGCGCCTAACTTGATTGGGTTGAATGCAGTCTGCCGTTGAAAAAGGCGAAAATAATGTATAATATGGCCTCCAAATCAATACATTTCCAAATACATTGATTTAAAAAATCCCTGTACACAGTACATTTTTGCAATGCATGCTGTTCAAACACCTCAAAATTATTCATTTGGCAGATTTTGAATAATTCATATTGACCCAACTGTGAAAAACTCGGCGCCTCAGTGGGATTCGAACCCACGCAGTAAAGGGGAAGGCTTTAGTACAGTCAACGCTCTAACCACCTGAACTACGAGGCCCCGCCGGACGACGCGAGTTTTATCACACTTGGGTCAAGTTACCCGCCCAACCTACTGCAACGTCTGGAACCCACCAAATCTGATAGAGTAAGTTGACTGCCCAAGCAGGATCTTCCTAAGAAATTTACCCAGAGTCCACCAGATGACTACTAGTCTCACGTAATTCATTGATATTTTGGCAGATTTTGAATAATTCATATTGACCCAACTGTGAAAAACTCGGCGCCTCAGTGGGATTCGAAACCACGCAGTAAAGGGGAAGGCTTTAGTACAGCCAACGCTCGAACCACCTGAGCTACGAGGCCCCACCGGACGACGCGAGTTTTATCACACTTGGGTCAAGTTACCCGCCCAACCTACTGCAACGTCTGGAACCCACCAAATCTGATAGAGTAAGTTGACTGCCCAAGCAGGATCTTCCTAAGAAATTTACCCATAGTCCACCAGATGACTACTAGGCTCACGTAATTCATTGATATTTTGGCAGATTTTGAATAATTCATATTGACCCAACTGTGAAAAACTCGGCGCCTCGGTGGGATTCGAACATACGCAGTAAGGGGGAAGGCTGTACTAAAGCCTAGTAGTCAGCTGGTGGATTGTGGGTGAATTACTTAGGAAAATCCTGCTTGGGCAGTCAACTTACTGTATCAGATTTGGTGGATTCCAGACATTGCAGTAGGTTGGGCGGGTAACTTGACCCAAGTGTGATAAAACTCGCGTCGTCCGGTGGGGCCTCGTAGCTCAGGTGGTTCGAGCGTTGGCTGTACTAAAGCCGTCCCCCTTACTGCGTGGGTTCGAATCCCACCGAGGCGCCGAGTTTTTCACAGTTGGATCAAAATGAACTTCAAAATTACTCATCGTTGAGGCCAGCGACACAAGTTTTATTCATTTTGATAGCTCTGCACTACTACTTTATGAAAAAAAGTTCCTTTACCATCTAACAATGGCGATTTAAGATCAACGTATTTACTATGAGACCAGCGGTGACCGAGTTTGAGAATTTTGGGGGTTTTGAAATTGTTTCGGTGCATGCAACACTTTCGCGTCGGTCACGACCCCGTCGGACGCCCTCTGAATTTCGAGCGAGACAAGCCAAGGGTATGAATTATGGCGTAGGGGTGCTTTCTTCGAAGAGAAATTGGGCTAAGAAAAATAAATATCCATACATTTTGGTGTCTGCCGGAGGAAGAAGTAAAAACACCTCCCGGGCAATGTTGTGTGAGGGTGGTCAGAGGGCATTAGGGTAGTTATCGGAGTAAAAGTAAGACAATGCAATACCTTTTGACAAAAAAGGACATTAAATCCAGTTACTATGCCATTTATTGGTAAAATAGCATCGTATTTCAATTAGTGTTATAGGGCGGATTAAAGCTTGTATTACCACAAATTTTATAGATGTTCGGTCCTTTCGCTCAACACTAATGCTCCCCAGAGTAAGGTACCCCATACGTTTGTCCAACTTGGAGGAATACCCATATCCGTGTCCAACCGTTACATTTAGATCGTGGAGCAAACCATCTTAATTCCATTCATGGAAATGTCATGACAGTCATTCCTCTGCCAGAAGTATTCTGACGCACAATTCTACCGGTTTTGCTGTTCGTTTTTTCCGTTAAGTTTCGCTCGGTCTTTTAAGTCTCTTACGAATAAATCAACCACCAGCGAGATAAGAAGAACCTTTAATAACACTCACCCCACAATTCGTACCATCGCAGCACAAACCAACTCGCACATAAATGTCTTTTACCGTATCATTAACATTTTACAGTCTAGAGAGTAAGCTTGAGGATATTTGAATTGACGAGTTCCTGTGCAAATCACTTTCTGTGGTTTCAGGTCGTCTGCTACTTAGCGTTTGGAATCTTGATATTTCAACCTTTGTCATGCCTAAACCTCAACCCAGCCCGCTGTTCGAGTGCTAGGACAGAAGGGGCGTCAGAATAATCAACAACATTTCGATATAAACCTAAAGAATTTAGATATCCCTGAGAGGAAAAAAAGGGAGACAAGACTCTCCGTTGCCGTCACATACACAACAACTTACGACGACCATGGAAAATTAAAGGCCGGATTTGTAATGCGGATTGGAACTCCAAGTCGCCACGGAAGGAACCTGATCCGTACTACAACCACGTTAATGACTGACAATTCGAAACGGGGGTCATTTCACTGCCTAATTGCCGGAAATTTCCGCCTGAATGGCAGTCCAATGTACCACTTTTGGCTTCACGCTTCAACAAGATCGTTGTCAGACTGTCCTTTGTTAGTGTGTGGGATGCTTTATAGCTCCACTTAAACTGTGACATCAGAGAAGAAAGGGACAGGTTTACATACCAGACTACCATTGCGGTTGTTTGTCCGAGCCCGCCAAATACTAACAGCAGAAATTAAATCTCGAGTTCGCAATATGGGCAGGTGTTGCCTAATGTTTCCAATTGTATCTGTGTAAATGAATACAATTGTTCTAGCTTGGCATGAAATTCGGCCGACAGCACTGTTTGAGCTTGACCCATTTTGTATGTTGGTCACTCGTCTGATAACAAAATGGGTTACGACTTAAAACATTACACGCGTAGTAAGGTTAATTTATTCCAAGAGAAGCTGGTTTATTTCTAACCAAATTTCCCGGGATTCCAATTTTCCAAATTATTTATATAAAATAAAAAGAGAAGGCCCGTCGGATAATCGAGTTCAACTTATGAAATTTCAAGCTGGTTATACTAAGCCCAGTCCTGCAAACCTCGGAATACTTAAGGCCAACTAACAATGGCTGATATGTGAGAAATGTTCATTTTATTATACGTTGCACAAGGCGTCTGCTCGCAAGTGCTCTGGATGGTGTCTCGATGACCTGCTTTGCTAATCCTCCTATCCTACACCCCGAGTGTGTGTATGCTGGAATTTTAACCCGAATTACTCCACATTGGATCTAATGCTCTACTCCAAAGCTTTATGCACGTTGTCGTGACAGTCGCGAATATTCTTATCTTAAAATATGTCACAAATAACGCTTCTTCCAACGTTATTTGACCAAAGTAGACAAAGGCGTTACATCTTTGCATCTGTCACAATGAAGACACCCTAACATCATGAAAACGTAGATTTCAGGACCATAAAA